TCATTCTTCTCTTTACAAATGAAATTGCCAAATCCAAACCCACTGTTCCTCTCCCATCTTTAGTTGTTCGTCGCAAACCATTCCCAAATCCAAACTCGCTGTTTACTTTCCTTTTGACAAAACCATTCTCGCCGCTGTACAGCTCTTCGAGGACCGATAGATCCATTCGTACTCCGGCCGATCAAACCCTCAACAGTGGTCGCGTCTACTCTAACCCTAGAAAAACTGGAGGTCACATATTCGAATTCTTTAAGTAGTACCTTAATCACAAAAATAAAACCTATATCACTCTTTATATATAAAGTGTCGTGATAAAATAAAATTGTTCGCTAGCTAATTCGAGGAGAGCCTGTTGGCGTCATGGCACAAAAGATCTTTCACTTGTGTTTTTTGGACTACATTTCCCGGCTTGATTTGGTTGAAAGGGATTCTGCCGTTTATACTTTTCAAAGGCGGCTTATATGTGCTTAATTGGTAGCCTAGGGAACCTTTGATTGATTGATTGATCAATTGATTAATTAATCAATCAATCTCAAATAAGTACAAAAATATTAACGAATTATATAAGGCAGAGATACCCAAGTCTGGAGCACTCTTGATACTACATAAACACTTGGTAATTAATTAGCAGCAGTAGTGCCGATCAAAAGATCTCAAAACAATTAAAGAAGGGGAGAAATAATAAAAGCATACGTACAGAGCCATGGCGATCCCCAGTAGTAGTACTGTTGCAATCAAGTTGGCCGTCTTGCTTCTCATCGTCCTTACATATTTTCATGCAGGTGTTTTGCCTTCAAGGGTAGTAGTTAGTCCGCAATCGGAGAATGTGGACGACGACGACTATGCTCCGATTCATGTCAGGTATGCATATTATTTCACTGACCGAAACTGCTTCGCCGGTCTAGCTTGTGTTAAACAAGGTCGAGCGCGAGACCAACGACGATTTGCTTCGATTTCCTTTCTGAAAAATCAAAACCCTAACACAGAGCTTGTGATTGTAGAGTGAAACCGATAAGAAATAACGAAGGTAAAACAGTATTCAGTTTATGACTAGTGAAAGGAATTAATAGTGGGCCTGTCTGTTCTGTTTTTAAATCTCGGCCCAGTGAAATGATTTTGAAGGCCCTGAACTTAAAGCCCTTAATCGAGCTAAGGACAGAAGCTATGAAGTAAGCTTCTTCTTCTTCTGTTCTTCAATTCAGGCTCCCTTCCCTGTATCAAACAAGGCTCAAGAACACACAGACAGTTTATCAGTTAGAACAAGAAACGAAAGTAAAGATGTGACACAGAGGATTTTTACGTGGTATCCAGTACAGGGAGAATAAGGATCCCTGCACTGACTAATCCACGGTTGATGAATCTCTTCTTGAGATCTTCAACGTATAACTAATGACTTAGTTGCTCAAGTTTCCTGTTACAAGTCTGAACAGAGAACTCTCAGCCTTCAGCTGGTAGATCAGTCTCACTAGATTGAATTGTCACTCAAGAATAAAGGACAGCAACCTAATCCGCTAAGCAATCACTCTGATATGCTCTCTTTTCACAACAAGAACTCTAGCTAATTCTCAGCTCTTCTCTTCTTGTTCGATTGAAAGGTTAAGCTCCTAGTTTATGATCTGCTCCTCTTTATATTCATGCTTTCCTCAACGTCTCTTTTAGAAACCTTCCATCTTTGACTCATGATAAAAATGGTAATGCATCATACTTGATTTCTTTCCAAATCAGCTAATTGTGTCGTTTGAATTCGCTTGATCAAGGCCATTGACCGAGCTTCCTTCAACATGCTCCCCCTAAGCTTGTCAATGGCTCCTTGACTGCTGCTTACCTGCATCAACTCAGCAAACAAATCGGTGCAGCCTGTTCTACAGAAGAAATTCAATTTCCACTCAAGATGGAACTTTATTCATTAGAGAAATTGAGAAGCATTACAGGGAACAACTAAGGCTGCTCTTTGATCTAGATAACTTAGACCTAGACCCTGGACATAATTCTAAAAGAGACTTAAGACTTGGTCTAAAAGGGTAGTGAGGAGGAGAGACATAATCTGAGATATCCCCGAACTCTTCAGATTCTTCAACAGCTTCATCCTCCTCCCTGATGCTGGATAAGCTTGCTCCACCTCCATCTCTGAGGAGTTTCAACCGAGTAGACAAGGATGTCAGAGTGGTTACAGGAATCTTCCGCTTCCCTTTGAGGTTTTCACTGGAGAATCAAGTTAGCTCACGGTCGACAACTACTTCAGCAGCAGACACTAGGGCTTTGACCAAAGCAGCAACCTCTCCCCCTGAGCCAGTGATAGGCTTGCGGGGTCCAACACTTGCATCGAGACGAGCAACGACATGTTGGGCTTTCAGGTCATCATGGACGTTGCAGAGTGTGACCTTGTCACGAAGATCAACTCCTAACTTCCTCAGAAGCTGGGTGATGAGAGGTGCCAGAGGCAACCAACCATCATAATTGTCATCTCCATACTTGACAAGATGGCAAAAGACCAAGGAGGCATAGCTGATAGCCTAACCAGACCGAGCATGATGAAGGATCCAGAGATCAGTATTGTGCAATAGCGTGGCACTCGATAGAGATCTGGGCAGAAGAATCCTAGTGATGAAGAAATGAAGGACATGCAGATCATCTGGAAGACGCCCAGCATCAAGGCGATTGGGAAAATATCGACCAATGTCATGCACAAGGGAGTTGTGGACATGATGGTAGTCAAAATTATAGGTGTCAATCGGGCGGGTTCGGGTGGGTTCGGGCTGGGTTCAATCGGGTTCGGGTTCAAACAGGTTACGGGTTAGTCGGGTTTCGGGTTCATCGGGTTGCGGGTTAGTCGGGTTGCGGGTTCATCGGGTTCGGATTCAATCGGGTTGCGGGCAAATCGGGTTGCGGGTTCATCGGGTTTTGGGTCGGGTGGGTTGCGGGCGGGTCGGGTTTCGGGTTGTTCGGGCCAGCGCATCAAGTAACTTAACTCATTACTCATTACCAATTTACACATTTTATTACACTAATTTAAAATATTTTCTCAACTTTTTAACCAATTTATTTCTACCTCGTATTTGAAAAAAAAACTAGTCAAAATGTTAAATAAATTTGTATGACTTGCAAACTTGTTATGTAATTAATCATAATTGGTAAAGTATTATAGCTAATAGTAATGGTGATATCAATATTTGCAACCAAAAGACACCATTAATTGTTTATTTGATATTTTAGTATTAATTCAGTAGTAATTGGATTAAAGTATCTCGTTTAGTATAACCATGCAAATCTGGTATTTGGCGTGTGGTATTTGGCAAAATCATAGTGATAAAAGGAGTTATTTCAAAATAACTCATTGCCCAAATAACTTTAGTAAACTGTTGCCAAACGAGTTATTTGTAAAATTGTTCGAATTATCCTAAAAATTGAACCATTAAAGATTAGCTATCAAATTTAGTAAAATTATTGTGACTTCAATCATAACTTACTCAATAGCATATATCCTATACACTTAGCTTTATCCTCAATCAACAATATTAAGTTAGTATATGTTGTTGATTGTATACCCTAAACCATCAATACATAATACACTAACCACATAACCTATACCTTAATCATATGTCCTTGAGTTGTGATTTTGCTAGTATAGTTAATTTAAAAGTGAAATTCATACTTTGATTTTCAAAACATAGATAAAAAGTGATATTTGCTAATTGTTATACCCTAACCATATATCCTATACTTTACACCACATACCTTGTACTCTAACCACGTACCATAAACATAAATTAAAAAGGGATCTCCGGCCGTTAAAGACTTCAAATGACTTCAAGTGAACATATGTTAATAAAAAAACTTAGAACCGTCAAAACCATCAATATCTTATACCCTAACCATATACACCCTAAACCATATGTACCTTATACGGTTATACCTTATACCCTAACCATATACTTTATATCCTAAACAACGAACCGTCAAAGATTACTTATCAAGTTTAATATAAATTGTTGTAACTAATGGTTAATTTATTTATTAACCCATAAAAAATTACATACATATATACATATTAGCCTTCAAAGCATATAAGAATAATTTTAACTAGTCATGCCCTCCATATAAAAGTTAAAGATTCATATTTCAAAAGCTAAAATTATGAAAAACCGAAAAATTGAAAACATAAAATTTGTTTCCTTCTTTTTTTTCACAAAAATACTAAAATTTCCCTCCTTCTTTCTCCTTCCATACATTAGAAAAACTCAATTTTCCCTCTTTTTTCTCTTCCATAAAATTGAAAGAAACAAATATCCCTCTTCTTTCCTTCTACAAAAAGTTGAAAAGTCAAAAGTTTCCCTCCTTATTTCTCTTTCATAATCAAAAGAATCAAACTTTACCACTTCTTTCTCTTCCCACATATCAGAACCACCAAAATTTCCACTTGTTTCTTTTCTAAAAAATTCAAAGAACCAAATTCCCCTCTTCTTTCTCTTCCCAAAAACATGAAAACACCAAAATTTCCCTCTTCTTTTCAAAACATCAAATTACCAAATACATTACTTTACTTTATTTATATTTAATTGATAATTTTATTGCATAGTTAAATTAACCAAAATTTTAATTTATATATTATATTAATATTGTCATGATCTCAAGTGACCTTCATGTTTCAATTTTTATAATTTTCTTAAAATACGTAATATCAAGTGAGTTTCATAATTTTAAAATTTCTTATACGAAATGAAAAAATAATTTTACTTAAGTTTAGAATAAAAACTTTATTTTGAAAAACTCAAGTGGATAAGATGAAATTCGAGTTGAGTCGGTCGGGTTATGGGTTAGTCGGGTTCGGGTCAATCGGGTTCGGGTTAATCGGGTTGCGGGTCAGTCGGGTTGCGGGTTAGTCGGGTTGCGGGTTAGTTGGGTTGCGGGTCAATCGGGTTGCGGGTCGGGCGGGTTACGGGTTGTTGACTTTTAGTCATTTCAGGTTGCGGTCGGGTTGCGGGTCGGGTTGATCGGGCTGGTTAATCGGGTCGGGCTATGTTTTGACACCTATAGTCAAAATTGTAATCATGGAACTGGCTATCGTCCCCTGCCTTGAGACCATTGTGAGGCAGCCCTAGCTCACTGGCAAGCAGATCAGCAGTGACTGTGATCTCAAGATTGCCGACCGTGGTTTTGAAGGAATAGAGATCAGCGCCAGAACCACGTTTGAGGTTCACATAGAACAGCCTCACAGCCTCGGGACAGTAGGTAAACCGTTGATCTTCAAACAGAGATTCCCATCCAAGGTTGCGAATCAAGGTAGATATATCCATATCGTACTTGGAGAAGGCAGATGGTTGAATGGTGAAGGAGGGGTAAATTGCTCGATCACGAAAGCGACGAACATAGCGAGAGAACTCTTTATCCTTCCTGAATACCTTGTTGGAGAAGGTAACAGCAGGGTGCAGCTGAGGGTTATTGAGCACCATGATGAAAGGATGTGTTTGAAAAGAGAGAATTTGTGTTTGGAACGAGGATGAGTGTGTGAGGGAACCTAAGGACGAAGGGTTTTTATGGGGAGAACAAGAGAGGATATGGTAAGTTGCCAGAAGGATGAGAATCCATTAGCAGAGTAGGAAAAGGGAAGAAGAATCAATTTGCGAGTGGCAAAAAAGCAAAGGGAATGAATTACTGAAAATTAGGCAGATCCTGGAGAGAGAATAATCCTAATTCACGCCTGATATGTAGAAATTGATCAGAGGGCAAGGGTTTGGTAAAGATATCGGCCCATTGACACTCAGTTCTAATAAACTCAAGATGAATTTTATTATCCTGGACTAAGTCTCTAATGAAGTGATATCGGACTTCAATGTGTTTAGTCCGAGAATGTTGGATAGGATTCTTAGACATGTTTATAGCACTGGTACTGTCACAGAAAATAGGGAGTGACCCTAAAGTGATTCCATAGTCAATTAACTGATATTTCAGCCAGAGCACTTGAGTGCAACAGAATCCAGCAGCTACATACTCTGCTTCTGCAGTAGAAAGTGCCACTGAGTTCTGCTTTTTGCTGAACCAAGAAATGAGGGAAGACCCTAGGAAGTGACAAGCACCAGAGGTACTTCTACGATCAATCACACAGCCTGCATAATCTGAATATGTGTAACTAACTAACTAAGTCTAGACTAGAGTGCTTAGAGTACCACAATCCTAGGTCAGGGGTTCCAGCTAGATAGCGGAAAATCCTCTTAACAGCGGATAGATGACTCTCTTTAGGTTGGCTTTGAAACCGAGCACATACACAAACACTATACATTATATCTGGGAGACTGGCTGTTAAGTACAGTAAAGAACCAATCATTCCCCTAAAGAGTTTATGATCAACATTATTCCCAGTTTCATCTTTTGTTAATTTAGTTGAAGAACCCATGGGAGTAGGAGCAGACTTGAGATTTCCAAGGTTAAAGCGTTTTAGCATGTTATGAAGGTATTTACTTTGACTTATAAAAGTACCCGAATTAGTTTGTTTAACTTGTAGTCCAAGAAAGAAGTTTAGTTCACCCATAAACCTCATTTCAAAAGCCCTTTTCATGCTGTTTTCAAAGTTATGACACAGTTCAGGACAGGAGGATCCAAAAATAATATCGTCTACATAGACTTGTACTAACAAAGTGTGACTATTTGACCTTTTGATGAACAAGGTTTTATCAACTTTTCCCCTATGAAACCCATCATCTATAAAAAACTGACTGAGTTTGTCATACCAGGCTCGAGGAGCCTGCTTAAGACCATAGAGGGCTTTGTTAAGCTTATAGACATATTCTGGATGTTCTCAGTCTTCAAAGCCAGGAGGTTGAGACACATAAACTTCTTCTTTTAGGTCACCATTTAAAAAGGCACTTTTGACATCCATTTGAAACAATTTAAACCCTTTTGCTGCTGCATAAGCACAGAGAAGCCTTATGGCTTCTAATCTGGCAACAGGTGCAAAGGTTTCATCAAAGTCGATTCCTTCTTCTTGATTATACCCTTGAGCTACAAGTCTAGCTTTATTTTTCTTGATAATATCACTTTCATCAGTTTTATTTTTGTAAACCCATTTTGTACCTATTATGGTTCTGTTTTCTGGTTTGGGAACTAGATCCCAAACTCTGGTTCTTTCAAACTGATGCATTTCATCATGCATGGCTGCTGTCCAAAATTCATCTTCTATAGCCTCATCTATATTCTTAGGTAGGATTTGAGAGATAAATGCAGTATGCTCAGGATAGACCTTGGATCGAGTCACCATACCTTGATTCAGATCACCAATGATCTGTGAGCTGGGGTGACGTTTCTGTATGTGAGGAGGTGATTCAGGTCTGTCCATGTCTGTGTTTTCTGCAGTTGGGGATGTCTCTGAACTCACTATCTTTGAGTCCTTGCATTGGTTGCCCCCAAGTCCAAAGTCATCATCATCATCTATTACTTCTGCAATCTTACTCACAGACTCATCAAATATAACATTAATGGACTCTTCTACCTTGAGAGTCCTTTTATTAAACACCCTGTATGCTCTACTGTTGATAGAGTAACCAAGAAAGATCGATTCATCTGACTTAGAGTCAAATTTTCCCAAAGTATCCTTTGTATTTAATATGAAGCATTTACATCCAAAAGGGTGGAAATAACTTAGGTTAGGTTTTCGATTTTTCCAAAGTTCATAAGGGGTCTTGTTTAATTTGGATCGAATTAAAGCCCTATTGATTATGTAGCAAGCTGTGTTAATAGCCTCTGCCCAGAATTTCTTAGACACACCATAGTCATTGAGCATGGTTCTTCCTATCTCTATTAAGGGTTCTATTCTTTCTCTCCACTACACCATTTTGTTGTGGTGTTCTAGGGGCTGAAAAGTTGTGTAAAATTCCATTTATGTTACAGAATTCCTCAAATTTGTCTGATTCGAATTCACCTCCATGATCACTCCTGATGTTTATTATTTTAGATTGTTTCTCATTTTCAACCTGTTTGACAAAAGTTTTGAATTTCAAAAATGCTTCATCTTTGCTTGAAAGGAAAAGAACCCAGGTGAACCTTGAAAAGTCATCTACAATGACAAAGGCATAATATTTTCCTCCTAGACTCATGCCATTACTGGGACAAAAAAGATCTAGATGAAGTAATTCAAGAGGTCTATTTGTGGACAGAACTTGTTTTGTTTTGAAGGAGGTTCTAGTATGTTTTCCCTTTGTGCACGCATCGCAGAAAAACTCTTTCTTGCTATGGATCTTAGGAACACCTCTAACTAGTTCTAAGTTTACTAGTTTAGATAGAATTCCCACACTTATGTGCCCTAACCTCCGATGCCATTCTAGTTGGTCATCTTTGTCAACTGTTATGAGACATGATTCATTAAAAGTCTTTTTGTCATTTAGATCAATAATAAACAGTTTCCCTCTTCGTTTTCCAGTGAACAGGTGTGGTGATGATCTCAGGAACGAGGAGACGTCGCCGCCGAAAAGAGGCAAAGGTGTGGTGATGATCACATCCTCCAGTGGTAACACAACTTCTTCTTCTTCGGTACAGTCTGACTGCGACGATACGTGCAACGACACCAACTGTGCTTATTATTACCCAAATATGTGCCAGCCAGAAGATCTCGGTCGTTGCAGCGTGGGCTGTTACTGTAATGACAATTTATGCCATTGCATCTGCTCCAGCTAGCTAGATATATGTTGTTTTCTGTACCACCGGCCAGCCGGCATGCAGTTTTCGTTTCCTAGTGATGATGAGTTGGACAACTTCTTTTTATGTGTTTTTCTTTCTGGGTCTCTTAGTAAGAATTATCGATCTGCAGAGCAGAGGTCATCTTCATGAATAAATTAGATACAGTTCTGATCTTAATATTTACCATGTGTCCCAAAGATATGAATTGCGCATGCAGGTTTGATCTCTGCTGAGCTTCTAATTCGTCTAAACCTAACTAACTATGATATGATAATTATATGAAAATTAGGTGAATAATTTGGTGAATGGATTGGATTGTATTCATGGATTTGGATCCTAATTACCACATCAACGACAAATTAGGCAACTATCCAAAATTGTACGGGCAGAGGTAAGCTGACATACGTCATGTGTCTAATTCTAATGAAAAGATTGATAGGTGGTCGAGGCGCATAATTGTTGTAATGTACATTTCATTAAATATTGTACTGATGTAAGGCAGATGAAAGGGAGCAAATCTAGTGAGTAACCTTATGGTAATATAACCCAATAAGAATCCGTCACATCAGCGCCTTCTTCTCTCTACTCGAAAAACCTTTATTTTTCCTTCCCTTAATCTTTAACGGACGATTTCCCACTCGTTTTAAGTTTGATTTTTTTTTTTTGCACAGTTAGACCAGATTAATTGTGTTATTCAAAATGATATCCACTTTGATATTTTTTTTGGAACAAAAAAATTTGCCAGTTATTACCAGTCTATACCATATGGTATTGACTGTATTATATGATATTGACTGGTATTAAATAAGAGCATACCATATGGTATGAAAAATACCACCCCATACCAGAAATATTTGAAATCCAATAGATCATGATTAAATCGTTCCTTCTTTGCGAAAATTTCCGAAAACGACTAAAAACGAAGGAGATACCATATGGTATAGAGTTGTTAACGAGAGGTATGAAAAAAATTTCTCAAAAAATATTGAAAATCGATATTATTTTGTAGAGCACAACGAACTCGTTCAATCTGCACTAAAAAAATTGAAATCCAAGTCAGGATGAATAAGATATGATTCAATCAAAAAAACTAGGAAAATAAATTCATTTAATTCTTCACACTTAAATCTGCAGTCACTTATAATAAAATAAGGGTACAAATTTGATTACTAATAGTTTCCTCGATCTCTTTTTATCTCTTCCACACCGATCCTCAATCCCTAACAAAGACGCCTCTTTTCCTCAACGTCCAGCACCATGCACTCTGTCTCTAATGATCTCCGCCGGAATTAGGTACCGAAGAAATTAAGTTCCCAAATCCACACAAGCATTGAACTCATTGATTAATTAGTTAGTTAATGCATATCAAATAAGTACAAAAATATTAAGGAATTATATATGACAGATACCTCCATGTCTTGAGTACTCTTGATACTATATGTTTACCATGTAATTAGCAGCAATGCTTATATACCAACATATCTACAACACTGCACACCCAAAAAAAAAATCTCAAAGCCAAGAGGGTAAAAAAAAACCAGCTAATAATTAGAACTACGATATAGCTAGCCATGGCGATCCCCATGATCAGTGCTGTTGCTAAGTTGGCCGTCTTGCTTCCCATCATCACCATCCTTCCATGTACACATCCTCTATGTATCCTCGTCGTAATCTCTGTCACTGTGTGCGTATAAGATTCATTGTTGAACATGTCCCAACCAACTCGAGTTATTTGTATCAACTGGTTCTTTACAATCTCCACTTATTTCTTGGAGTTAAATTA